GTGCCATTTGTTATTAGGCAATCTCTTTTCCGGGTACCCGATGTTAACAAAAACCCGGTTACCCGGTTCTAAAAATACCCGCAAATGCACACCCCTACTAAGCTACATGTACATGTAATTCCCCTTTCCCCCAGTCAATGGCTGCCACAACAATCACATCCAGGTACATGTAATAAAATGTGGCCTGGAGCTGACAGTGTAAGGCAGCAAGGCCATCGACAGAGTGGGCATTACGGACATTTGATGGAGGCCCATGCTGGACTCAATGGCAGCCCACCACACACTGTGGCCACACGGGAGTTTTTGTGACTGGGGCCAGTGTCGGCTTTCTTCCCTTGGGTGTCAGCTTCCAGGCATTCAAGACACTTGGCTGGGCATGGTAGCAGTGGCGTGACCTTGACCTTTTTTATCTCCAATGAAAACAAATCAGCCCAAAGTCTCATATTTTCATGAAACAACCAGCATTTGCTCCAAACCATGGAATTCTTTAACTCTTCAAGACACTGTTTATTGCGTCATGTGCAATTTGAGGTCGGAATGTCTCCAAAATCATGATATTCATCGGAGAATTTTCCTAGCTGAAAAAAATTTAGCTGTGATAAAAACAATGGAGAATGCACCCTCATTCACCAAATAAAAGAACGTACATGTAGATTTCTTTAAAGAATCCAGTTTTAATATAATCTTTATTTTTTTCAAAGAAAAATTATGTTTTTATTCAATAATGTGTCAAAGATTTCAACTTTCATAAATTTACTTTGCACAGGAATATTTTAATCATTTAAAAATTATTTAGCCTTTTGATGATGCGATCTTGAGCCTTGTTTTGAAGTCCTTGTCTGTACCTCTGGATTGACTGATCTTACTGCCGAGGTAGACGAACTCACTAACATCTTCTATGGGCTCTCCGCTGATCTTGATGGGAGCCTCTTGTCTATTGTTAATTCGCAGGACCTTTGTCTTCTCTTGGCTGATCTTCAGTCCAACTCTCTCTGTGCAGTTATTCCAAGAGCATTGACTTTCTGTTGCATGTCCTGCGCCAGCACAGAGATCGCTGCCTTAACAGAATTAAAAGTGTTAATTTATGTGCTTTGAGTGCACAAAGCTACTCAACAGGAAGTGTTAACACTGCATAAGCGACGGTGCACTCACCTGCACTGGTACCCAGCGGCTGTTGCTTGTCTTCCTTCAATTGGGCATAAATAATGGGGAGCCCTGTGATTGGTCAGTGTAACCCCCAGCGCGCTGCAGCCAAACTGCCATTTCAACCAGCGCAGTTAAGAATTACACACACTCATACAGAAAGTGGCTGCAGCCAATTTCCATGTCTTCTGTATCAGTCGCAGCCGGAGTCAGTCATTTGGTTGCGGCTTGTCTTCATAAAGTGTACACATGTGAACCGCATGACTCTCAGACACTGATTAGGAAATATTTGCACCTTTATTTGGAAAACAGCACGGTTTGGGCCCTCTTCTTTCTTGGTACTCAAAAACAAAGGTAAGCTATTTCACATAAAACTCTTGGGAGAAATGAAGCAGCATTTCTATGGGTACACAACTAGAATGGAATCCCTGTTTGTGCCGTGTTAAACGTCATGCATAGCCCATGGCGAAAAAGGCTCACTTTCTGTGGGGATCGTAGGAGCGGAGTGGGCGTTGGGGGTACATGTATATACAGCGGTGTGTAAATCATTCATTCCTGTCTGCCTTGTCAGCATGGGCAGTGCTTTTGTTTTGGATATCATACTGCTTAACTGTTCAGTGCAATTTTGATTCTTGTGCAAATTTAGTGTACAGTACAGTTCAGAATTTTAGCCGACATGCAAACACGCTTAGCGTTTCAGCGTATATCGAGTCAAACAGACACGAAAGGAGTTCACCACAGTTAAATCTGATCTGTCAAGTATAAACATGCACACGCTACATGGAAACCCCAGAACAGCCAGGCCTTTGTTGACCGAAGCAGTCATTTTCCTAGTTTCCCACAAGGAAAAGTATTCAGTTTGACTGCAGCTCAGGTTATTTTCAAATTCCATGGAAATGTTGTCCGTAGTTTACCTTGTTTATAGCAAGCATCACAAAATCATTTTCGAAGAAAAAGCATTTTGTTTGTCCATTCAGGATCGATGAAAGTGCCATGCAAGCAACACTTTTGGTTTATGTCTGAATTGCTCCCAAAACTTCTGAATCAGGCACCCAAAATATTCGAGCGTGATATCAATTTTTCAACCGAGATGATTATACATGTAACTAGCAGTTTTTATGACAAAACATTTCCTAAATTAGAGAAAACTATTTTGTAAGAAATCCACAAAATATAAGTGGGTTTGGCCTCGCTGGTCTGCTAGCCAAATTTTAGTCAAGACGGCCCCCATTCCAGCAATCTTAGCATACACACTCGAGCTCAGTGTGTTCAAAATTGCGTGAATATAAATTCGATGTGAGGTGGGGATTTTTCCCATCAGTTTTCCACCTTTAACCCTAACAGTCCCGAATGCTACAAAGGACTCAGTAGTAGTACTCAGCCCTGTGGTTTGTAAGAGGACATGACATTATTATTCTCTGAAGCCATAAAATACAATAGAGAAGACAATGTACCGGTACCATACAGTGCTGTGGTACTATGAATGCATGATTACATTGTTCTTTGTGCAAGTAACAACGGAATAAACTTAGCCAGAAATAGTAATTTGTAGTGCTAGGTCCTTCAGGCTCAAAGTGTTATGTAGTATTTTGTAGTACTGAGTACTCTAAGCCCAACAACGCCCGGTACTGTTAGGGTTAAGCTGGAAAAGCTACCTAAAAAATTGCTCTGGCTGTGACAATATTAGGACCAAACTGAACGGCAAAGATCGTACCGAAATGAAAGGAAGTCGGGTCTGTGCTAGCGACGTGCATGCACCGGCTAAACACAACGGACAAAGTAGTGCCCATGTGAACCTCATAAATATGCATGTCGTGTGACATGTAAGGGCTGTAGCTTTGCATTTGTTGACGCTGTATCAGAATGAATATGCAATACACTTGTTTCGATTTACATGTATGATTGGTGGTTGGGATGAAAGCGCTGGGGTGGTTGTAGTTTTGTGATTGCTTGGTCACTGTATGGTCACGGCATGGTCGACGGTTGGGCACATGTGGCATCGCAGCAAATGAAAAAGTCAAGTTAAAATTTACATTCAGTGGGTGTTTTTTTAATTTACTGAAAATCTGATACATTAACTAAATTTCCATAAAAAATGCTTTATTGTAAAATCAGCTTGTTATAATAGTTCTGGCTGGGGACTGGATTTCTTTCGTGGTTACTGTGTATTTGTGAAAAAGTCCTCGCGCAATTGGGAATTGCTTAAAACCGATCTAGCATTAGAACCAGCAAGAAAAGTGTTGTCGTCACTCCAGTCGATCCTGTGAGTTTAAAATTCAAAGCTTACATGTACATTTAGGAAAAAGTTTTGTAGTACATGTAGCTAAACACCACAGTGGACTAGTGGCCAGTGTCACTTAAATTGGACATTTTCCTGATATAATCTGACTGAAAAACTTTCGCGATCCAAAACCAAAAGAAAATGCTGTGATAGTGATTTATATTTCGATACTTAAAGACAGCCATCTTGCCAGCCAGGCGCTACACGTACACATACGTGGTTTCACTTATTCAGTGCATGCACTGCCATGCAGTATACATTGTTCATGTACATGTACACGTATACACGAAGCTGGAATGACAGCCCTGCGTGTGCAGTGGTTCACTACGCGTTGTCGGTCACCTTTGCGGTCTGTGGTCACAAGCCCTGCCGAGATAATGAGGTCCGTAAAGCGTGTATTGAACAGTGTGTTGGGTTCACTGATCGTGTTAGCGTGTCAGCTAAAATTCTGAGCTGTACTGTAGGTCCTCCTCCTGAATAGACCTATAAGAGTGCTCTTTACGGTGTACATGTACATGTATATCCTCCCTGTCGATACTGGGCCCTGACTTGGGATAGTCCGAATAACTTGGATTCTGCAAATGACCTTTTTTTAACACTTAGATGTGATAGGTACCGGTAGAGTCCAAGTACCTTCCATATACTTTTGCTTCCATTAATCATGTCAATTCATTTCACTAAAAATAGCTCGTACCCTGAATCAAAATCCTCCAAATTCCCTACCAATTCAGTCCTCAAACTGTCTAATGCACCCGATTAAGGACACAGAAAAGGTAGGCATTACAACAGCATGCTAAATTTATCCTGATGTTACCTACATGTACTGGTACGGTACATGTACGTGTACTTTGTATGGCCACATGAAAAAAGTAGTTGGTGATCGCCCTTGCCCGCCCCTAAGAAATCCCCCTTAACGTCGACTCCATGGCACAGCAACATCGAGCCCATGGGAATGAGGTTGAGATTCACCAAACCATTAGCAAGTGCTGAGGTTGCAGCCGTGTGCATAAATCTGTGGAAAATAGAGCAGCCAGGGAGGCGGCAACCACAGCAGGTAATTCAGATGCAGCCTCAACCTCTGCTGCATGCTGGATCAGTACTCAGTAGCGGCTGTCATTCCCATCAGATACTGATTCCACTTCACAGAGCTACAGTAACGTAACCCTCTCTGAGAAAACCCTCCTAATTTCGCCTGGGTGTACAACCCCTATCTCCTTTTGTGATGAATGACTTGCCAGTGTGACACCCTTTTTGTAAAGAAGATAAAATCATTTCATTAAGGAAACTGCTCTTTATTTAATATTTTCCAATCCATCAAAGATGTCCAATATGTTGAACTGAACAAAAAACAAAAAACGTGCCCTCCCACCCCTTTTTTAAAAAAAGGGCGCTAACCAATATTTTTTTCATGTGGCTCAATAGTGGATGACAACATGATTTTATCATCACAATTAGTCTGAGTAACTTGGACCCTACCCAGGCCCTATCTTTCTCGTTTTCCCTTTCAGGAATATTTGTTTACATGATACATTGTTAGCATTTGTAGTTCAAGTAGGCACTGTGCAAATTTTACATTCCAGGAAGAGAAGCCGACACCTGAAAAGACTACAGTAGCTGTGGTCAATGGACATGCCTCTCCTATCCAGGAAAAAGTGAAGGAAGAGAAAAAGAAAAAGAAAACTACCTGTAAGAAGCGAAAACTAGACGCTGGCAGTGATGAAGGTGGCAACAGCTCAGTCACTCTGAAGAAATCCAAGGATGATCATTCAGAAGAGGATGACACATCAATCACAGTCCAAAATGCCCCTGAGGTACTGTACAATGTACATGTACATGTAGCTCTAAGTTCACATTTGAAATAATGGAAGACTATTTGTACCACATGTAACTTTTACCTTAACACATTCACCACACTTCTTAATCCACTAGGAGGTTTTTAAGGGTTATAAGGATTTACAAGGAATTGCTGCTCTACAGTCACCAAAGGGGACTACTGCCCTTTAACACTGTAATCGCATTTGGATTGGACCAAAAATTGTGGAAAAAAATACCATAAGGGCTTGCTAACATCTTATTGATTTTATTCTTCCATGCATCCATATGAGGATTACTAACAATCTGGGAAAATTTCCTTGACTGTTTTAAACCTACGAAGCGACATGTCTTCTCAATATCTCAAAAGGGGATCACTTCTGACCAAACAAGGTTAAAACAAAAATACTACTGTTTCCAGTTTCCTGACTGAATGACTGACCCCACAGTTATTTTTTTTTGGCGCAACTCAAAAAGTTTATCAGCCAGTTTAGAAAAATAACAAACTAAAAAGGTGATAATAGCCAGTTCTGTTTTACTGTGGGTAATACCAAAATGCCTTTTGATAGCTTTCTCACTCATCAACTGATGTATATGTAGGTTTACCTGTCGATCTGATGTCCAGTGTTTTAATCAGAACATCGGCCGATGTCCGATCCGATGTTTTTACAATAACTGAAACGTAACCTTAACAGGATGTAGGCCTACTAACAACACAAAACCAGTGTACTCCCTTAAAATGGTAGTTTACACGTTACCGGTAATGGGATTAGTTTTTGCCATCACAGTCACCGTTGAGAGAATAAATCGTGTGAACTTTGTACCTCGATTGCCACCACACACAATACCTATGTAACTGATCACACAAACTCATGCGGTGCTTACTGGTACATGTACATGTAGACAACATGTAAGGTTCATGCTTCAAAACCCAGAATGATATCAAAAAGAAGCCTCTCTCTGATATTTCGCTTTCCTGTTCCCATATGTATTTTCTTTTCTAATGTCTTTGATGTTATTTTTGGATACTTTTCAGTGGTTTGCTAAGTGCGATTTTTGCTGGTGCACTCACGGTAGATCACTTAATGTACATTTTTCAACAAATAAGCACACGTTTTTGACCCCAAAATATACATGGCTTGAGTCCTTCCAAATGAATGACAATGTGTTTTGCCATATGTCCATTGACGAATATGAAAAACATGTTTTGGGCTTGCTTCTATGTACACTGCGGCTCTGACCGCGCCAGCATAGCGCGCACGGAGCTCCACTTTTCGGTACACTATAATAAGCACAAGAACCTCGTCTGGCCCCTTGTTTTGTGCATGCATAAAATGGACTAAAAAGTGCAGGACACAGACTCAGCACTGTACGTACAAGTGCCCTCTGTCGACGACAAGCCAATAGTCCGGTGCCGCATTTTTTCCTGATGTTAATGAATACGTCGTTATATGGATACTATGCCGCTTCTGCAGCCGGCTGCAAACGTTGAAAAAACGCTGTTGTCAACGTGCATCGTGATTATCGATCACCCACGCGTCAAAGCTCAAAATGACTTCCAAAAAGAAGGATTAGTGGCCCACAGGTGGAAAGCTCCTTCAGTTTGATGAGCAATGTCATGCAAGCAAAGTCTTCAAGGCTGCAAGTGGAAACATTCAGTGCAGTGTAAACAATTAAATACTCCATTTTAGCAAGCCACAAACCATCTCTTGCACAGTTTTTGAAGAGTGACTTTCTTCATGAATCAGTGAACAAATCTCTTGTTGCCAATATGAGGAAAGTAAGAGCAGAATCCCATGGACATCTTGCAGATCAAAGAGCCACTGCACAGCACCCACTTCAACATTCCAAGACCCCAATGTCCAAAAAGAGAGCACTAGAGGTTGCAGCAAAGGTTGCCAAGAGAGCCAGATTAAATCACATGGAAAGGGTGAAAACATCCAAAAAAAAAAAAAAAACCATTAGACAGGCGGGAATATCAATTTTATGTCACAGGTTTATTTCACAGAATGTACTTCTCATAAAAAAAGTTCAAAAAGAATCACAAATAAGAAGCATTTTGTGTATTTTTTAATGTAAAGTACATGTGTGCCAAAAAAGCTTTATATCTTTCACTCAAATTTCACTTCACCTGGGGCCAAAAACTGCATAGTATGCACCACAGAGCATGTGAAATTCAAAATTTTCAGGGGGCCTTAAGTCAGGCCCGGACCCCACGTGGAATTGGCTTCGTGCTGCGGGCATGCAGTTTTGTATGTAAGAATATTTTCCTCTTTTTTTTCAAATTGAAGAGTTGCATGCCTGTTTCATGTTCCTTTCAATTTTTAGTGGGTCTACCAATGACTTTTTTGAGAAATTCTCATGAATCCAAAGCAGATCATCCCTAAAATGAAGGAAATTCCGCTGTCTGGGAAAGTAGCCATTTAGAAAATGCATCCCTCTGCAAAACTACTAAATCATGTATGAATAATGCCACTTTCAAACCAAAATGCATCCACATTGCTCAGAATTGGAAGCCCTGATTCCGGGCCAACCGGAAATTAATTTGAGTGTGTAACTTTTATTAATGAGCTCAACAGGTCATATTCCTGGCCTATTTGCGTGGTGCACTCATTAGTGTTTGAACAGTGCCCTCAGGTGTCAGATACATGTACATGTAATGTCCCTGCCTGACCAATGTACTGTATGTGATCAAAATGTAAACTGTTTTACACAACAGTGGCCATCTGAATGGGACTTTTTGTAGCATTTTACCTGGTTAGCCTTTTATTAAGGTCAAACTAACAAATCACAATTGACAATTGACAATTTGGGCAGTTCATTAAAAGCTATGAAAAGAAGAATAAACACACCAAGAAGCCTTTTGTCATCATTAGAATCTTCAGCCACCTTCATAAAAGTTGCTTCCCAAGTATGATATGATGTGCTGATGAGCACAGATACTTGTACAGGGCCAAAACTGTTATCAAACAACATTGTCAATTATGTTTTATTTTATTACTTTAAACAAAATGTTTTCATACAGAGTGTTTGTTTTTGAATGACTTAAGGTAACTGAGTAATATTATTGTCATACTTGTACTGTAATAAGAAAATGACCTACAGTATTGGATACATGCCAAGTGTGACAGGGGAGCAACATACACCCGGTAAATCACTGAGTGCCCAGTCCATTTGATTGTTCATCTGTAACTCGGACTTTCTATCCAAAACAAAGCATATTCCTTTATACTGTAACTTGTATTCTGTGTGCTTGTTCCACTCAGTTGTCACCAGAGGAGAAGGAGGGTGCATTTGAAAACTTCAGGATATCACCTAAGACAGTACAGCTTCTCAGAGGTACATAATACATGGAAGGTTTACGTGTGTTACCATATGTTTTTTGGTGGTGGTTCTGGTCAACTAGGAACATTGTATTACATGTAGCTCATTGAAGCAAAACAAGGAGTCCATGACACTGGTCTTATTGTCAGCGTGACATCACAATTAAACGTGATGGTGCATCTTTCCAAGGTGTTTTTTAGAGACTTGAGCCACTTGCTGACAATAGCAATGTTCCTGTTGTATTTACATGTACTGTACATTGAACCAGTCACCAATGGGAGTTGTCATACCATGATCAAAGATGGGGAATTTTTACTGGTCGTGAATTGATCACGGGATATGCCATAAGCTTGCATGTATCCTTTAAAATTGAGTGCCTTGCTGCAAAAAATGATGAATAACACCAGTGTTCAATTTCCTTAAAATGTTTGCATAGTAAAAACTGTGATGCAGCATTTTTTTGGTATAGCAATTGCCTAATTTTGTGTAGCAGTTTTTTAACAATATAATTGCGTGAAACACTGAATGTCCATATAAAAAACAACAATGGTCTTCAACAATGGTCTGCAAAAATTATGTCCTAAAATAATCAGAACTGACAGTGGGTTCTTAGGCTAGGACCAGAAATTTTTTTTTTCAGTGAGCTAAGTAGGCATAAAGTACCTTAAAATATAAGTATAATAAAAAACAAAAATAATATAAACAACGGCACATGATGAACACCAGTGGTTAAACACACCTGAGTGTGTTTAACTTGTTCCACGTATGGATATGCTGCTTTACACCCTGTGCAATTATTCTATGAGAGTAGTCTGAAAAATTCCTCCCCACATTATTGTGGGTTGGGTCTCCTACATGTACATATGCAAATTTCCCATGTGCCTATTATAATTCGCTGAAAAGACTTGATTATGCATGCTGCCCCTTGACCCTCCACAATGCACTGCGGTCTTGCCAACATGTTTGTCCTTCTTTTTGAAGTGGAGAAACTCCCAGAGCCAAAGTGGGGAAGGATGGGTGGGAGCGGCTGGACAGGGGTAAGTATCACTGGGGGACCCGACCCACACTAATGTGGGGGAGGAGTCTCCTGCGTTCACATACCCCTGTCCAGCCTACGTATGCAGAGTGGCACCGTACCCTGGAGGAGGGTCAGCAACGGGAGAGTACTTACTAAAGAACATAGACGGGCGTCCCCCAAGCGAACACTCACCAGAGAAAAACTCATCTGCAAAGAAGAGTTCATTGTTAGGTGTGGGACAGCGCTTGATGCTGTCCCAATCACCGAGTGCAAGGTTGCTGAGCCGTCTCGCTCGGCGGAACATCCTTCAGGTAGCACTCGGTGAAGGTGGAGGGGGATTTCCCGCAAGCCACCAGGCATACAGCATATCTGCCAAGGAAATGCCTCTGAAGTACGACCAGGATGCGGAGGCGGCACGAACATCGTTGGCTCTGATAAGAGAACGAGTCTTCTCGTCATGCTGAGTTGGCCAGTCTTGGTCCGCGAAGATAATGGCTGAGGTTGTCCACCAAGCAATAGTGTCTTTCGCCGCTGGATGAAAGGGCTTTGTGGTAGTGAGGAAGAGTCTGGAACCAGGTTTACGACGATGCTTGGTCCTGGCGAGGTATCACTAAAGAGTACAAACTGGACACCATTTCTTGTCAGAGTCATCTCCCAAAAGAGAGGTTATATCAGGGAGAAATATGTCTGGAGGCAGGAAAGTAGGCATCTGGTTCTTTGTCGGGAACTCAATGGCTGGGATAAGGTAAACTGTGCGTTTCCCAGCGAATGTGACCTTCAGCAGTTGACAGAGCATGCAGTTCACTGCCGCGTCTGGAGGTAACAACGGCCAGGAGGAACGCCAGTTTGATGCTGAGATGGAGGTCAGATGCATCAGGGAGAACATGCAAGACGCTCTTAAGGTCCCAAGACAGAACGAGGCATTTGACGTGAGGACGCTCAACAAACATTCCCCGAAGGAGATGGTGGATGGTGGCATTATCAGAAATCGTTGACCCGTCACTGAACCCAGAATAGACAGCTGCCAGGGCCGACCAGTAGTTGCTGATGGTGGCAATCTGGAGGCCTGAGTGAAAGAGATACATGAAAAAGTCCGCAATAGAGCTTACAGAAGCTTCGGTTGGATAAACATTGTGGCCGTTAAACTATCTATTAAAATGTTGTAGTTGACTGTTGTAAATTTTGCGTCGGGATGGTCATCAGCCCGTGCCACCATGGACGCAGCGTCTGCAGAAAGGCCTGATGCTCTGAATGATCATTGGACATAGTCCAACACGTCAAGTAAAGATCGCCTGGACCTGGATGGATGATTCCTGACCTGGGCTGACAAAGAATGTCCTCCCTGGGCAGAAGGATCTGTGGTCAACGAACCAGGAGTCTTAACAGTCTCAGGAACCACAGCTGGCAAGGCCAGAATGGGGCAATGAGGAGAATTCGGCAGGTCTCTTGTCTCTTAGGATGGTCTCTTGGGATGAGGGAGATCGGGGGAAAGGCATACGCCAGAATGCAGACCAGTACACTTGTAGAGTGTCCGTCCTCCAGGCTCATGGGTGAGGAAACCTGGAGCAGAACGTCGAAAGATGAGTATTGTTGGCCGATGCGAAGAGATCGACATGGGGACATTCGATCTCCGCGAAGATCTGCCTGACCACGCTCGGATGAAGAGTCCACTCTGTCGGACGGACAGTGCCTCGGGAGCGGCCTGCAGAGAGGTTCCATGATCAATTGCCCACATGAAGATCTGCTATGTAAGGACACAAAGCTTGGGGGAGCAAGTACCGCCTCGGTGGTTGATGTACGCCACCACTGTGGAATTGTCGCTCTGGATTCAAACTGAGAGACCTGCCAAGTGCTGCTGGAAGTGGCGAAGGGCATTGAATACTGCCTGAAGTTCCAGCAAGTTGATGTGTTTGTTGCGGAAGGAAGCATCCCAAACCCGGATGTGTAAAATGGAGTGAGGGAGGCCCCCCTTCCGAATAGCAACATGTCCGTTGCCATTGGGATGTTCGGTCTGGAGAGAGTGAAAGGATGACCGATCAGCAGGTGCTTGTTGATGATCCACCACCGGAGGTGATTGCGAACCTCTGTTGGGAGAGGGACTGAGGTAGATATCGGGTCGCTCTTGGGACGGTACCGAAACAGGAGATGTAGTTGAAGTGGCCGCATCTGCAGTCGACACCATGGGGTGAACTCTACCAAACTGGCCATTCGTCCAAGAAGACGGAGCAAGGCTAGCGCCGGAGGTGCCTCTGATCGCAAATACTGAAGGACACATTGTTGTAGGTTGAAGATGCGTTCTGGTGTCGGGGCCACGATTCCTCTGTGAAGGTCGAGGATCGCCCCAAGGTAGGTCAGCCGCTGTGCTGGGTCAAAGGCGAACTTTTCGTGGTTGACGAGGAACCCCCGGTGAGTCGTGACATCGAGGGTGAGAAAGGTGCAGGCTCGGGCCTCGTTGGGGGAGCGACCGACGATCAACCAGTCATCAAGGTATTGAAAAATCACAATGTCGTGCCGTCGTAGGTAGGCAGCGACAGTCTTGGCGATCCTGGTAAAGACCCTTGGTGAGGTTGAGAGGCCAAAGGGAAGGGCCCGAAACTGGTAGGTTTGGCCGCAGTACTCGAAGCGGAGGAACTTGCGGAACTTTTCGTGTATTGGGATATGGAGATAGGCGTCCGGCAGATCTATGGAGGTGGCCCAACAAGGACTGGTAGGGAGGGCAGAACCACGCTCAGTGTCCCCATTCAAAACAGCCTTGGCTTGATGAACTTGTTGAGCGGTTTCAGATTGATTATCGGTCACCGTTTTCCCGGTTCATTCTTGGGTGTCAGGAAATAGGACAAGAGGAGACTGGTGGATAATTGGTTTTGATGTACCGGTGTTATGGCTCGTTTGCGTAATAGCGTTGAGATCTCCTCCTCCAGAATCAGGCGCTTGGATTTGTGGCATGGGGAGGAGTTGAACAGAAGACCATCCTGGATGGGGGGGGACTTGTGAACTCAAGGGAGTAGCCGTAGGCAATGGTAGAGAGGACCCAGCTGTCCGCAGTGATCTTCTGCCAGAATTTGATGAAGTTGCAGGTTGCCGTTGACGGGTTCAGAATTGGCAGCCACCGAAGATGAATGGAAAAAGTCACCAGCGCCATCCCCCAGAGGGACCGGGGGCACGGTGCAAGAACCCACAGCCGGCGAGGCGTGGTTGGGGTCTTCTGCAGGCAGTTTTGGGCGGGGCTCGCCCGGGGCCCGACAGCTGAGTAGCTGCCCGGGGCAGAAGGAGATGTGTGCAAGCATCTAACCTTTGCAAGGACATTCATCATCTCCACGCAGGAACGGTCTAAAGGAATCTCCTGGAAGGATGGGTTCAGTTGACTCAAGGCGTGAAGGGTAGAGTATGAATTCAGCACACCAGTTCGGTAGAACAGAAAATTTTATGGAAGAAAACCATGAAATCTCAACAAACTAATGATTTTTAGAAGAATTTTATTCCTGGACAGAAGGAAATAACCACTTACAATGTCTCTAATAGCCATGGGAGCAGCGAGTAGGGTTACTTGTGCACTGTGTATGTGTGGGCAAGACTTGGGAATTTTCATTTGCTTGAAATCCTGATAACTCAAATTTTTATCCATTCCCCCTAGGGTTTGAGTTACGGAGAGCTTACTCTATCTTATCTGCTGTTCACATGTTTCAATTTGTCAAATTCAGCAAATTCATCTTGGAATAAAATAGGCATATATATATAGTACATGTACAGCAGTGATCTCAAGTAAGTACCCATCGAGGTTCGAGGACTCGCGAGTCCCTCGAGAAAATGAGCTTCCCTTGAAGAATTTTTATCGAGCGAGATCGGGCAAGCCGCGAGCGAGATCGGGCGTGGTCGGGCGTGTGTCGAGTTTTATCGTGTGCTGCAGCCGGACGCCGATTTACTCGAGCT